GTCACCTTCCTGTGCTAGAAATGTTCCACTCGAATCAAGGGTTCCTTTCTGGTTTTGTATGTTCTCACCTGCTCCTCACTGTAAATCATTGAGATGTCAAGTGCGATGATTAATTAAGCTGCACGTGCAAGCGCTTTTTTTTTTTTCACCTGTCAAGCCGGAAAGAAGTCTTATAGCAAGATTAGATGGTGCTAATTCACAGCTTTTACTTCAGGCTGCCAAGCGTGTAGAAATATTTTATATTTAGATGCTTATTGAGAATATGGCATACCAGGATTTGTTTGGTGTAGAGTTCTTAAATATTGTAAGATACAATTATTACACCAAACCCTATCATTAAACTTGTAATTAGAGGCGAAGAATAAATTCAGAAATTCCTACATAAATATTTTGGAATTTAAGGTTCGTATTTTGTAATTATCTTATATTCAAATACTGGTAGTTGATTTAAGTTGTTTAAAGTAAGTAGTTTTAAGTTTTTAAATTTATTACGTATATATATGGGTGCGTGTATATATATCATGATGAAATCTATTCTTATAGCATTGGGTTAAATTTCTGATCAGATGATAGTGGCAACTACATTATTTTCTTTGAGTAATATTTGTAGAATGTAGTGTTGAGCTTTTGGGTACTATTTTTATACGTTAATATAAAACAACAGACTTGGAAAGCTTGCTCTCCACCCCCCAGTTCTTTCCTCGTCGTCCCCCTCCCCTTAAACCATCAGTGAAAGTAAAACCTCAAATTGTATAGTAATCTTAATCTATTATTAAAAGGTCCTAGAAAGGAAGATTACAAGGTAGATTCAGGTTTTGAATCGGTTTTGCCATTGGTTTAGCAGCGGGTGGGCAGGCAGATGCCTGCTCAGAGTAGAACCTATTGCCATTTTTCACCATTGATAGAGTAGCCTTTCAGAGTCAATGAGCTCTGTCAATGTGAGCTTGTCAAGGCTACAACTTCATAGACCTGAGAGGCGGTTTGAGAGGTCAGCCCTTTTCAGGTTCGCTGTGATGCAAATGAACTTTAATGCTTAAACAACTATTGGAATTTTTATGTCTGCTCCTTGTTCTTTTTTCTTCACAAAGTCATTGACGAGACATTCAGTGCTTTTTAAATTGGAAGTTGCATTGTGCTAAAGACCTAGTACAGATTTACGGAGGGCTGAAAGCAGTTAGATCATGTTCTTTTCATGGTGCGATTAGAATCAAATCGATTTCCCTACAGCCTTCAGCATTCAGATGGCAATTTTAACAAAGCTTGGGGGCTAGACAAGGGACAAAACGACTGAACTGAATGTTAATTACACTCTGCAGCCTTATTTTCTTTTGATTTGGGGCTGACTGGCAACTAAATTAACAAAAAGTGTGACCATAACTGCTGCCCTATTTTCATTTAAAAGGAGAGCTGCCTCTAAAAGGCTATCTTTACAAAGAAACAAGTGAGGTCTGCTGATCATTGTTAACAAGGGCACTTTTTCTCTTTAAAATTCTTGCCAAAAAGACTGTTCAAAAAAAGTAATGTCATAAATTAGTCATTGGCGTATTATTGCCCAGAGAAGTAGTTGATTTTCTGATTTTTATGACATAGCTTGGAAAATGTAAGACAATAGTGGTGATTCATTGGTGTTATGAATTATATCTGGCACTTATGTAACTGCTGTGTGTTTTTAGCATGTTCAACATGCTAAAAGGTAACTAGCTTACAATAGATACTGTAAATAAATATTAACATTTTATCATGTAACGTTAAACTATTCAAAACCAGCTTGATCCTAACGATTTTTCACCTACTTTATTCTTGCTTGCGTGCACATTTTCATATTTGATTATTAATACTTATAGTTACGCCACCTTAATAGCAGTAGATGCTTTTTTCCTTCCCTCTCAAGAAAGGTGCAGCTGCACCAATCAATTGCAGTTGATCCTTGTGGCAACACTGTCATTTTTGCACCTGCAGCTGTGTCAGTCTCACCCTAACACCTGGCTCCATGAATCATCCTCTCCTTTACTCGTGCTCCCAAGCAAGAAACACTGCGTGCTGCATAGCACATCTTGCGCCAGTCAAGAGAAGTAAATTTCTCAGTTGATTCCTCAAACAGTAGTATTAAGAGTTTGATTTTACTGTCAGATGGTACTTTTATGTTGGTTTAAATAAAGTTTTGGCTCTGTTTGGAAAACCTATCTGTGGAATAATCAATAAGCTGGCTTTTAAATGTGGCCATTATTTGTAAGCATGATGTGAAAATTAGTTTGATTTTTTTTTTGACTCATTGGTGTTTTCTTTTATTAACTTCCAGTTATTTTGTTTTGAATTAACCTAAAGGCCATTTTCATTTCGTTAACTAATATGTAAATTACTTTTGTTTTAAAATATGTATTAAGGAACTTTCATTACTATTTAAGTATTACAAAGATATGTTTGAAGGAAGTAGGGATTTAAATTTGTATCATGTGGTAAATGACATTGGCTTTTCAGAGTTTGGTAGTTATATGTCAGATGCTAGTAAAAAAAAAAGATACATGTGCTAAAAAACTAAGCCATATCTTTATTAACAAAGAGTACCGTTTCTGTTCAGGGTCCTGTTTAGTGCCTAGAACATCGATAATGATACAGACTGTCCTACACTCAGTCACTGTCTTATACTTCTCCTCTTTTCACACAAAAAGCAGCTG